ACCTTGGCGGGGGAACTGCCCCCCCCCCACCCCCGTCTGTGAGTTAAACATAAATCAAAGACAGAGACCAATCATAACTTTTGGTAATATTTTAATTGAAAACTCGATTGTTAATCGTGTAATCTGGAAAATGCGGTAGTTAAGTGAAATAGATATGAAATATTATATTGACTGACCGTTAACGTAAAAGTGCCACGATTCATGAATACCTGCTTGAACTAAAAGCAAGCACTGAGAAAAACGCTACAGCAATACTATGTGGTAAGTCGATCAGAGTAAACAGAGAATTAATGAACTTAAAGGAATTAAACTGCCCCTTTTAGAGCATTTCGGTAAAGGTGCAATACTCTAAGGTATTAAAGGCAGAAACAGAGTGGGGTTTTGTATAAAAAAAAAAAAATTTTTTCATTTGATCAAGTTCATTCTCTAATTCGTTCTCGGCTTCATTAACTGCTTTGTTTATCGTCCGATATGGTTCGACTCACGTAATAATAATACGTGTTATTACTGTTTCATAAATAAGATTTCCTATGAGAAATCTGCACATTGATCATGTTTTTTTCAAGCTTACACATCTGACATGAGGAATTTATATAGTGTTGTGATTGTTTTAAAGTTTATGCTTTGTGAAAATGCTTTCATTTTGTTTAAAATTAGAATCCTGTCAAAACTAACTCATCAAAAATATTACTATCACATTCATCGAAAATAGAAGAAAACATCAGCATCTTAAATGGGACAGATGCTTTAGATTGGATTATACTTTGAATACATTTTCTGTAATAAATATAACTGAAAATGACTGTCGAGTTGTTATATTCAAGGAGGAAAAAAATAATAATTATTTTGATACCTCCTTGTTATATTTGAATCCAAGATATTCTTAATATTCCCCAAAATCTAACAGCCACGAAGGCTATGAACATATACTCAACTTATTTACATCAGTTGGGTGCAGACCCCTTGTGGGGGTCAAAGAATTATACTGTATTGTGTACAGGTAGGTTATTATATCATATATTTACCCTATAATATCGTATAATATTCGCCGATTAACCTCAACTCCCCTTAAAAAGGCACATTGATTTATATTCCCCAAAATCTAACAGCCACGAAGGCTATGAACATATACTCAACTTATTTACATCAGTTGGGTGCAGACCCCTGGTGGGGGTCCAAGAATTATACTGTATTGTGTACAGGTAGGTTATTACCGTATATCATATATTTACCCTATAATATTGTATAATATTCGCCGATTAACCTCAACTCCCCTTAAAAAGGCACATTGTTTATATGAGTAGAAACAAAAAAATTATATTTATATCATTATATCAACTATATTTAATCATTAATTTGTATCAATACAATGATAAAAATGTAGGCCTACATTAATGTCATTAATGCTTATGTCATTGCCATAAGCCAAATGTACTTACCCGACTGAGCTTCAGCCTGCCATGACAGGGGGGCGGCGAGCAGAGCAGTAACCAATAAAAGTTTCATATGTGCTGAATTCAAGTTGCAGCAGTAAGGCCTACACACTAACGACAAGATATTCATACAACCAGTCTTTCCAGTAATCTTTACGAGATGTCCCGACTGCCACACAAAAAACTTTCTATTGTATAATTCATGTAGGCCTATATGTTAATCAGGTTAATTTAGTTCCTGTTGCTTTTATATTTTTTATTTGCTTTCACCCTCCAACAATTATTTACAATAG